CTAAACAAAAATTTATAAACAAATTTTTCTCCAAATACAAAAAATAAAAAGAAACTTCCAGTATGTTATAAATGTAGAAAAGTTGGTCATTACAAACACCAATGCAAATTAAAAAAGAAAATAGAATTATTACATTTAGATGATTCAATCAAATCAAAATTATATAATATAATCAATTATGATTCAATATCTTCAGATTCTTCTACTGAATCACACATAGAACATATTCAGGATGATGACCTTTTATGGACAGAATCATCAGACTCTTCGACAGACACAGAATCATCCAATCCAATGAAAGACACTAATTGTACTTGCCCAATACCTACACATAATCTTCATATGCTTACTCAAGAAGATAATCTAATATTAGATATTATTTAGAAAATTACAGATCCAGAAGAAAAAAGATCTGTAATCACTAAATTTATTACATTAACTAAAACAAAAGCAAAAACACCTCCAATTAGTAAAACACCTGATGAATACAATTTTGCATCTATTATGAAAAGAGTAAGTGAACAACATACTTCTTACAATAAAGAACCTTCTATTTCAGACTTAAAGCAAGAAATCAAGGAAGTCAAAAAAGAAGTATATCAATTAAAAAATAGAATTAAGACTTTAGAACTACAAAATCTATCTCAACCAGAATCAGATACAGATGAACTAGAATTCGATCAGCTGATGACATATGATCCTGATCCACCAGGAGATACACCAGAAACTTCAGAAGCCAAACCTCATCTGGTAACAATTCCCTCTGTTAATTTGATAGACACAATCTATCTCAACCAGAATCAGATACAGATGAACTAGAATTCGATCAGCTGATGACATATGATCCTGATCCACCAGGAGATACACCAGAAACTTCAGAAGCCAAACCTCATCTGGTAACAATTCCCTCTGTTAATTTGATAGACAAAATTATGATTCAAAAATGGTTTGTTCAAGTTAAGATAATTGTAGCAAAAGATTATTAGCAGCAATATCAGAAGATCTGCTATCTAATCTTCGTTGTCCTACATTATCCCATTATAAATGGTATAAGGATGTCTTTTTCTCAAGATTATTAATACGTGAAGATTGTCAATTAGACCATTGGAAAGAAAATTTTATCGCTGGTCTACCCTACTTATTTGCAGAAAAAGTCAAAGACAGACTTAGAAAGAAACATAATGGAATTATAGTATATTCAGCTTATACACTTGGAGAACTCTCAGCAGAAATATGTGCTGAAGGATTAGCTTTATATACAGATCTGAAACTCAAAAGACAATTAGATAAACAACAAATTACCAAGAGAAAAGAACTTGGTGATTTCTGTGAACAATTTGGATTCATTCCTGGCGGTCCATTGTCTTGTATTGGTAAGAATTCTATTTTTGGTTTCATCATCGACATAAAAATCCCACCATCCTCTTAACCAGCTAGTGAAACCATTGACTATTGCTTTAGCAACCTCTTGATCTGGATTACATGCCATTTTGTTTGCAGAAGCAAACATTGTCATGTGTCTCATGACATCTAGTACTTTTAATTCAGATAAACCATCTATTGTCCAATTAACTATTGATCTTTCTGAATAGGAAACAACTTGTTGTATGACATCTTCTTCAAGCTGGACATCAACAGGTGTAAGTCTATTATAATATGCTAAAGCGGTAATGGGTTTCCAAGTTTTACCAAAGGTTATTCTGTTTATATCAATAGGTGTAGTATCCATAAAAGTATTTTCTTGGTTTTGTATGGTGTCTTCGATAATTGGTTCTTCTTCTTGGAGCATCATTGTTTCATGGTCTGGTTTTTTTGATTTTCCTTTATCTGAAGATTCTGGTAATGGAACAGGTATATTTGGCATAGGAATACTGAGTTTGGGAGAAGGAATTCCTTTAATGTCTAATTGAGCTAATTTGGCTATTAACTGATCCATTAAGGTTTTATTATTGTCACCTATATGAAATTTATTTTTGTTAAGCTTTGGAGGTGGTTTAAATAGGACTGCTTTAGAAAGGGAAGGAGTTACCTCCTTCGAAACTAGTCTTTCTATACGTTCTGCTTGTTTCCCTAAAGACTGCATATATAAATTAGTATAATTGTTTTGTTCCACAATATGGGGAATAAGTTCTTGTTTTTTACCTATTTCTTTGGGTAATACCTTATTTGGTGTAGCAATTATATCATATAAAGATTGTGGTGGTTTTGCAGAAGCAAGAAGAAAACCGGTCTCATCAGATGAAACCGTACAATCCTCACCATTGCACACCAATAAATATTTCCCACTTGAAGAAGCAGACCCAGAAGAAGAAGAAACAGACCCAGAAGAAGAAGACCCCAATGAATTCAGCCAAAGACCATAAAGCTGCTCCACAGTATACATGTCATCTCAAGATACCTTCCACCATGACAAGATGCCCTTTATTGTCACTACCGACACATATGACAAATAATTATGCCCTTCACTGTAGCCACCGACATATACGACAAAGAAGGCACTATGTTGCCGACATAAGAAGACAAAATGCCACTGTTCAAAGATGCCTCTGCCGATATAAGAAGACAAAATGTCACTGTTCAAAGATGCCTTTTTAAGCATCTTCTTTATCTTTTTATGTTTTCCTTTTTTGTTTTTTCTGCTTTATGTCTTCTCCTCTTCCTTTTGGTCTCATCAAGCCATCCCATCTCTTTTCTTCTTTACGAAGCAACCTCATCCTTTTGCTTCATCCTTTGCCTATAAAAGGAGGACTTCTCCTCATTCAGAAGCAGGTATCTCCGAGCTTCTTCCTCTCATACTCCGCTCTGCTCTCTTCATCCCTCTTCATCTCTAAACTCTCTTCATCCCTCTGCTCTCTCATCTCATTGCTCTCTAAGCAAGACCATCACAGCTGTCCCGACCTCACAGCAAGAACCTGCCTCATGCTATTCAAGTTCTCCCTATCCTTTTGATACATCAAACCAGGTTCTCACCTATCTCACCTATCTCAGTTTTCTTAGCTTAAATATGTGTGATTGTAACTTCCATACACTCCCATCATATTGTCCTCCCAACT